TATAGAATTTATTATTTTTGCCATAAACAAAAATATATTAAATATTTCATATATATTTAATATATATGAAATATATTAAATATTAGAATATTAATATTAAATAAAATCGAATTATTAAAAATTATTAAACCAGTAAACATTAGAATATTGAAGTTCAAATATTAAAAATTAAATAATGATAGTACTCAATTAATTAAAATAAATTGATTAAAATTTCTTATATACCAGATATTCTTATACACAATATAACATGTATATATTTTATATTATAATTGAATATCGAACCTTGACCAACCATCTATTAAATAACAATTGAACTAAAAGAACTTAACTAATACATCGCAATTATAATCAAACAAAATTACGTATTTTAACGTTTTGTATATCAACCACAAAAAAGCAACATAAACCTAAATATCTAAATATTATAATCTCAAATTTTTAATTCATCAGCTTCATAATAAAATATAAATCATTTCCAGATACAAGCAAAACTAAAAAATGGAAACAAAACAAACCAATCTTGCAATTTCATCAATCACAAACAAGGAATGATTCAACAAATCCAATTCATACCACTAATCCTCCACCAATGCCAATGTTAAACTCATCACATCATCAGGATGCAGAAAATGAAATAATAACCATATGTGGTAAGTATCACAAATCCCAACATTATCAATATCAATATTCTATTACAAATCATAAAATATCTTTCATAAATTACTAAATAATAATAATCTCATTACAATATTATAAAATTAATTTATACATAATATCATTATAATATCCTTCACATTAAATATCAAAATAAGTCCTAATCTAGTTGGATATATATCCACAAAAATTCTAATGTTAATATGTATTCGAAGATCTATTACATATAAATCATACATATACATCTACCAATATCTATACTCATCATAAAATTAATTTAATCCATACTATTTTATAATATATTCTATCAATCGCATGAACTAAATAATTAATAAAAAATATGTGTTTAAATAATAGAAAAATGATAATACACCTTATTAAAATCAATATTTCCAGATTCAGACACATCTATATTCCAACTGCATGACACAACCTCAGCATCATATCATCCCCTAAATGCTTCCATTGACAATACCTCAATCAACACAAACAAACGGAAAAAACTCAACCAATCAACAATCGACACACAAACAAGAACCATAGATGCACCACAAACACCACTTATGAAATATTTTTCTCATCAACCAGAAACTCCATCTCGAAAATATATTAGCGGTTGAGTAGGGATTCTTTGGGCGTTCAATTTTTTCTTCTAGTCCGATCATGTTAAATTTCTTTATTTACAGTACGTATTATGATAAACCAAAAATGTAGTAATAAATTCGAAGTTCAAGAAATGAAGATAACCGACACGAGCACCACTCAATATGGTAAATGCAACAAAAATTTTTTAAATCGTGAATAACACTAAATAGCAATGCAAAAAATTTACAACACTTTTTCAATGTTACAACAAAACTTTATAGACAATGTACGGTAATTACGCGTACTCGTTCTCGTATTCGTACAACAGAAATTATTTTCAAATAATTCCTTATGCAAATCATGCAAAATTGTTATATTATTCTGTTTAATGAATTATTATTATTTAGTCATATTGAATTAATTGCTGCAAGTTAATTGCTAGACTCATTAAATTTGATGAATGTTACCAATATATGAATGAGCTACAATTCAGTTTGAGCAATGAAGCGTAAACGAAACATTGGACCACTAATTTTAAACAGCAAAAACCACAAGTGCAAAAAAAAGATTTAATGAAATAAGTGTTATTTAACACTTACTTTGTGCTCAATGGTCGTTTGTAGATTCTTATCCAAATGCACCTTTATATTTTGGGTGCCATCCAATTTGGCACGAATACGTTTGCCTACGATCTCTGCTGGAAACACTAAATCTTCTAAAATAAAATACACAGCAGTTAAACTACGCGAACGGATTATTGCACAGTCTTGTTTTTACGAAAACTTTGTAGTTACTCGTTCACTATCTAAGTCTTTACGGTGCTGATATAAGTCTTCCTCTTCAAGTGGTCCTTGCAAACCCTTATGAAATATTTTTTTCATCCACCAGAAACTCCATCTCGAAAATATATTAGCGGTGAGTTAGGATTCTTTGGAGCGTTCAATTTTTCTTCTAGTCCGATTCATGTTAAATTTCTTTATTTACAGTTACGTTTGATTATGATAAACCAAAATGTAGTAATAAATTCGAAGTTCAAGAAATGAAGATAACCGACACGAGCACCACTCAATATGGTAAATGCAACAAAAATTTTTTAAATAGTGAATAATAGTAAATAGCAATGCAAAAAATTTACAATATTTTTTCAATGTTACAACAAAACTTTATAGACAATGTACGGTAATTACGCGTACTCGTTCTCGTATTCGTACAACAGAAATTATTTTCAAATAATTCCTTATGCAAATCATGCAAAATTGGTATATTATTCTGTTTAATGAATTATTATTATTTAGACATATTGAATTAATTGCTGCAAGTTAATTGCTAGACTCATTAAATTTGATGAATGTTACCCATATATGAATGAGCTACAATTCAGTTTGAGCAATGAAGCGTAAAACGAAACATTGGACCACTAATTTTAAACAGCAAAAAACACAAGTGCAAAAAAGATTTAATGAAATAAGTGTTATTTAACACTTACTTTGTGCTCAATGGTCGTTTGTAGATTCTTATCCAAATGCACCTTTATAATTTGGGTGCCATCCAATTTGGCACAAATACGTTTGCCTACGATCTCTGCTGGAAACACTAAATCTTCTAAAATAAAATACACAGCAGTTAAACTACGCGAACGGATTATTGCACCGTCTTGTTTTTACGAAAACTTTGTAGTTACTCGTTCACTATCTAAGTCTTTACGATGCTGATATAACTCTTCCTCTTCAAGTGGTCCTTGCAAACCCATATGAAATATTTTTCTCATCCACCAGAAACTCCATCACGAAAATATATTAGCGGTTGAGTAGGGATTCTTTGGGCGTTCAATTTTTCTTCTAGTTCGATTCATGTTAAATTTCTTTATTTACAGTTACGTTTGGTTATGATAAACCAAAAATGTAGTAATAAATTCGAAGTTCAAGAAATGAAGATAACACGA